GTACTCTGATTTTTATAAAGCATAAACAAAATCGGTCTTTTCTGGCCGTGATTTTGGGGATGTCACACTCATATCCATCATAAAACCTACTTTTTTACTTCTATAATTGCCTAAAAACATAAATGAAACATTTACCTGGTATAGGTCTTACATTATAAAATGTCTAGGTAGGTGTTGTATCGGTTTCTTTGCGTGTGACAAGTTGTAGGGGTATCTTCTGTTGTCTATGAGTTGCGTTATCTCACTATACTTTATACTATAGTATGGATCCTCAGTATGTTAGGAAGTTGGTATGCTATATGGTTCTGTTAAGCAGGTTGATTTGTTATAATTACATGTGCTTGTTATTTGGTAGTTTTGTTTTATATGCATATATTGATATATTGTGGATGGGTTGAGGCGGTCCAGCAATGTGCTGAAGGCCAAGATACACAAGAGGTCCAAATCTATGTTGTAGGCCCACAGAAGGTGGTTCAACTTTATATTGTAGACCCAAGGGAGGTGGTCCATCTTTATGCTGAAGGCCCAGGTGACGGTCTAGCCTTATGTTGTAGGCTATGTGTACATGCATTGTATGTGTGTTGTGGTGTGGTGTATTTTGGAGAACTCACTAAGCTTCAGATTATAGTTGTGGATTTTAATGTTTTAGGTACTTTTGAGGATCAAGGTACATCAAAGGTGTGATTGTACACACTATCATGGAGATTTATGATTTGAGAGATGTTATGTCATTATACTATAATTGATCCCTTTTTTGTGAAACAATCATTTTGTGGTGTCGACTTTTAAATGATTGGATAATAATTCTCTTTTGAAGATTTAAAAATTTTACATTGGCTTTGGGAAATTACAAGTTAGTATCGGAGCCTTAGTTTGTGGGATTTGGATGAAGACCAATGTGATTACGAACTCAAACTAAGGATTTGTAAAGTTTTTGCAACCATTTTCTAAAAATTAAACTTAAAGGGGAGAAGGAGGATGCAATGTCTACAGTCATCCAGAGATCAAATAAGATTAATCCATCAAAATATCCACATTTTTCATATGAATATATTCTGGTATGTGAATTAGGAGAACCGTATTCTAGTAAATAAGCTAGGGATCCTCCGTAATTGCATGATAGAATTTCCTGATTATTGTGATGCCATGTAGCCTAGGGGATTACTTGTATGTGCTAACTAGAATTGATATTGTTGCTATTAGTGGTTAAGTGTATTCCCCATAGTTCTACATAATTAGGGATTTATAGCCTTAGAATGCTTGATTTGGCCTTACTTCCTGTTACTTGCTTGGTTGTGGGCTTTGGATAGAGTCAATTATTCAGTTGTCTATTGGATCCTATATTATGTACGTACTAACATACATGAAGCGACTAGCAATGATAGTGGAAGATTCTTGCAGCACGGAAGTGCGGTTTGAAAGATCTAGTATGCCTAAGAGTCATTATAGAATTATACTGCTAATAATATATGATCATATAGGGTCACACCATATAACAAGTTATCGTCAATTGCTTATTTAATAGTATAATTTGATAACTAATAAGTATATCGACACTTATATTTAATTGGAAAATTATTATTTCATGGAAATAACATTTTACTAATTAAGAATTTATTATTTGCAGAAATAATATTTATTGGAGAACTAACAACTTATGAAATATATCATAAAGTATGATTATTTATAAGTTATAATTATATATCTTAATAAACTAGTTCAATTTATATAAAATGTAGTTTTATATAAAATAACATATTTATATATTCATATTTATATCTTAATAAGCTAGTTACAATTTATATAAAGAATAGTTTTATATAAAATAAGATATTTATATATGACTAGTTATATAAATATATATATATATATATATATATATATATATATATATATATATATATATATATATATATATCTTGGGAATTCTTTATGAAAATGATTAATTTTTATAAAGATAACATGTATGTGTATAAAAAACAAGCCATGAGATAACTTTTGTCTTCTTTTGGACATGCCTCTTTCGAAAAATGGGAGGAGACAAGGCATGCATGCCTTGTCTATTCTTTTGCCATGCTTGGGACAAAGTTATCTCTCCTTTTGCTTTATGGTCTCCATTTGTTTTTTGAGCATTATATAAGGGAGGGTATGGAAGGGTTTTGAACACACTTCTTGCAAGTCTTTTTCTTCCAATTCTTAAAGCCAAATCCTAGAGCTCCATGCTCTCTAGAGGATTGCAAAATTTCGAAACTGGAAGGCTCTTCTTCTTCTCCATTCTCTTATATTTTGATGCTAGACAAAGCCCCTTTGTTGCTTCACCTTTGAACATATATTTGGTATATATTTAAAAGGCTTATGAACAACAAATTACAAGTGAATACTAGCATGTTTTGATGATTTTACTCTTGTTTGGTGGATACTTGTAGAGAACTCTTGCTTTAGAGTTTTATGCCATACTTCATCAACTTTCAACCTCACATGAGGAACAAAGTCTTCAAAGCTTGTTATGATTTCCCTTCTAGATCGTTTAGATCTTTCACATGTATATTGATAAAGAACAAAAAATTCAATCACAATACGATTAAGAACACAATATGGAATCAATATGAAGTTTATGATTCAAATATAGTCACGCCTCAACAGAGCTCGATAAAGAACTTCCACTGTAGAGGCGAGCTAAGGTTTACACTACTTTGATAAGAAAACAATTAAAGCGTGTCCCACAAAGGATGCATGCATGAACCTTAAATACTAAAACCCTAGAATAATAAAATGCACGGTTGGACAGGCCCAAACCGGCTACAAAACTAGGCTAAGGACCGAGCCCATGACGCAACACTATACAACCCAACAGTAAAAATAATGAAGATGTTGTCCATTTTGAAGATCAAAAGTTTATAAAGTTGATTTTTATTAAAGTTTCTCAAAGTTTATAAAATTATTTTGATAAACTTGCTATAAGGTGTTGAAGCAAGTGGGAACACATGAAGACTTTACAAGATCGCAAATGAAGCTTTGAAACTAGAGAACATTGCAAACGAAGCTTTGCGGGGAATGGATAAAAACCTTGAAGTCAAGGGTGACGGAGCTCTTTACCTCTTGGATCAAATCTGGACACCGAGATTCGGAAACTACAGAGACGATGTCATGAATAAGGCTCACAAAACCAAATACTCCGTTCATCTCGTTTTTATGCAAACCTGATGTATAAACTCCTTGCTTCAAGGTTATTACATTTTTGTTTGGCCGAATTTTGATTCTCCCAATAACCCTTTCCATTGCAAAATACTATGGATACACACAACTGAAGTCTTCTTTGTGTTTCAGAGAAGAATTGTAGGTCTTCATCAAATTGCATCCATTAGATCCACAAACATAGTCAATATGGCTCATCTCTGATCTTAAATGAACACAACTTCAGATCAAGATTGTTGAAGGGGCTGTGGTGGTTCGGTGATTGTGAGGGTGATGTTCGTGAGGGTGGTCCGATTTCTAAATGGAAGCATCGACTTGGAAGGGAAAAGGAGGTGGTGAGGTTGGGATAAAACCGAACAACAGCACTTCGGTTCATGACAGATGAAGAATTGTTAGGAGGTGGTTCCGACTTCTCAGCAACATTTTTTTTTGGTTCCTTTTATGATTTTTGTTCCAGGTTTTTAGATGGAGAAGACGATGAACAGTAGAAGGTGAGGGGTTGATTGGTTGTCGGCTCGAAAAAGGCAGTGCGCAAGGGAGAGATACAGTAGGTCTCCGGTCTCACCCATTTGTATATTTGCATGTGTGTACCTTACTATGTGTGTGAACGGTATTTGGGTGTCTGCATCCATGGATGTTCTGATTGTTGAAAGAATGTAATATTTTTTATAAGCCTCGAGAAAAAAACCAACCGAGGGCAAAGCCCATATTCTTCAATAGTTTATTTTTATTAGAGGTTAACCAAGGTTTATTAAACATTTAGAGTTAGTTAAATAAGTTACAAACCGAAGTAGTTATTCAAAGCTAAAGTACAATTACAAATTAGTGTCCAAATAGTGTTCCAACTTCTTAGGAGTTAGCTTGCTCGAAGTTACTTATCCAAAGAACATTATAACTCCAATTTCACTACATTTTACTTTCATCTTGCCTCTCTACTTTGCTAGAATTGTGCTCGAACTCTCAAAGACTCCAAAGAGGGTGTACATAACAGGTTTAGTGTTTTAAAAGTGTTGGATTAAAATATTACATAAACTATAAAATTCATATAAAAATATATTTTGATGAGCTAATTCAACCTATTAAGTGCAAGATAGGTTCGAGTTTCAATCAAAATATTTTTAATAAACATAAAAATATTAAAAATAATTCCAAGAACACGGTTTGTATAAAAACATAACAAAACTTTTAACTAAAACAACAAATATCCATGTATACAAACATAGGTCTTTTAGGCATTGTTACCTACAAGGTAACAAACAACATGACTTTGTGTTTGAATGCAATGGATTGAAACTCTAATAAATATCAATAACTTCTTCGACAAATTTTGCCATAGACCTCTCCTGCATTCAAAAGATATTAAGTAAAATAACTTAAGCTAAGTTTATAATAAACTAAAATCAAGATACTCATCTTAATCATTGAAAATAACCTAAAAAGTATCTAAAACAATCATGTCATGTAAGAAACATGCTTAGGTCATGCTTTCTACAGACAGCGCAAGGACAAAATCTGTCTCCATTATTTAGAACAACTATGCTACAAAAAGCAAAGGACAAGCCTTAAGTAAAATGAAAACGTGAAGTAAAGTGGTAACAGTATCTATGGCGGGCCTTTCTTTTAAACTTTAAAACAACAAGTCAATATCTACAGTGGTCAATTGCCGACAGCAACTATCCATTTAAGTCCTCACTTTCAACAAACTCAATCCATTCTTATTTAACTCTGAATCTTCCACTTAAAAGAGAGAGAGAGACAAAGAAATTAGGATTTGGGGAAGAAAGAAAACCTTTCAGACGACAAACATGGTCTCACTGAAGACATGGCTTTTGAGGTTCAAGAAGATGAAAGATACTGCAGAACCCAAATCAGGAAATGCTCAAAGGAAATGGAATAAAGGTCGAGTTCACCATGGTGATGATGATGGCTCTTTTTGGAGGAATTCGTTTGATAAAGAAAGGTATGAAGATGAGGAGATGAAGTGGAATTCAGATTATCGGCTCAATGTTTCTCCAGTAAGTTGTGGAGGTTTCAAAAAGTCTTCGACTGGAAGAACAATGAGAGAGATTGTTGATGAAGAATCAAGAAAAGGGAGAGTGGATTCTACAGAATCAGTGAAAAAAGTTGTGTTTGAAGACAAACCTGAGCTCGTAATTCAAGAAACATCTGCAGATAATATCGAGACTTTCTTGAAGTCGGATAAAAACATGAAAATGGAGGAGATCGTGTTGAAGAATGAGAAACAGCGGAGAAGGTCAAAGCAGGGTCGTCAAGCCAACGCTCATTCTCCAAGAACACTAACCAGGGTTGAACGCAGAATCAAAGCTCTTGAAAGCATGAAGAGAACGAGGTTGAAGATAAAAGAGTTGAATGCATTTAGTGTCAGTCTTGACTGCAATGCCATCGTGAAAAGCTCATTTGATCCAGAGACGGACTTCAGAGAGTCGATGATGGAGATGATGATAGTGAAAGGAATCAGGCAACGAGACCAGCTGGAGGAACTCTTGGCTTGTTATTTGACATTAAATTGTGATGATTATCATCAACTTATTGTTAAGGTCTTCCAACAGACTTATAATCAATTTGTAGCTTTGTAGTTATTATTTTGCTATGTTTGATCTCATGTAAAATTGGAATTTTGATCGAAAATTGGTATTGTAATAGACTCATGTCATGCCAACGAAGTCGACCCGAACCCATATGATAAGATTTTTGGCAATTTCAATGGTCATGCCATTGCCATATTTTTAAGTAATATCATGTGACATATAAAACAAATAACCATCCATTCTAGTGAGAATTGACCGGCTAGCAAGAACTCAACTCAATAGAATATTAGATCATCTCCAATACATTGACATATATAAATTCTATTCATTATATAATTTTAGCTACTAAACTCTATCTTTCATTAAACTTCATTAAATTATATATATGTAAGATCTCTCTCTCTCTCTCTCTCTCTCTCTCTCTCACACACACACACATAAAATTGTATGTAGTTTAATAGAGTTTAATGGAAGATAGAATTTAATAGATAAAATTGTATGGTGAATGGAATGTACATGTGTCAATAAGTCAATCTATTGAAATCATATGAATTCAATACATTTGATATGACCTTATATTCTATTGATTGTCATGTCATTAACTTACAAAGGGGATTCTGAGCTTAATGGGATTCAACTCTCCATTAACTCCTCTTTAAACTATCATTGGGGATGACATTAGGCTAAACTGTAATAATAATTTATTTGTCGTACTATTTTATATGATGTTGTCAAGATCGATATCTCACCTATTATCATTTTTCATTTCCATTTTGTAAGATCATAAATGTAAGATTCGATTGGAAGATATAACTAAAATTAATAGTTATAAGTTTGAAAATGTAAAAATACTTCTATATTAGTTCATAAGGTTAAAAGTTGAAACACGAACATCAAATATGTTTGTGATCAACCCAAGTGGTCTATCTGGTGAGACTGAGATAGCTCTAGTGAGTTTGAAACAACATTAGGGAGCTTATGTTTCTGGCCCAACAATTTTGGACCAAGTAAAAAGGCCCATGTATCCTTGTTATATAATATTCAGTGAAGATGTAGGGTAAGAGTGTTAGAAGCACATCAGGTATTGTAAGAGGGAAAAGTGAGGCCAATTGCTTAACCTAACACAAATGAATCTCTCTTCTGGTGTGGATGTTAGTAATCATGTTGAACCACATAAATCTGTTGTTTATTTCTTTGTTTACTTTCATTGTTTGGTTGTTGTCATTGTTTGTTTTTGGGTCCAAGGGAAGAAAACAGGAATCAGAAGATACAGGAAGGTTAGTTGATGTTTTCTTTTATTTCTGCATTGTTTCTGTTGAAGCAATAAAATCTAACTATATAATTGAATCTAACATGATAAATGGCTAATCATAGATTTTATTTTAAATTAAATTATTATTTTTCTCTCAAGCCACTTTAGTCACATGTAACAAAAGCAAAACATGAAAAAAAAAACATATTGTTATAAAGGATCTTATACAAAATTTATTTCTATAGTGGACATAGTTGCGCTAGATGGAGTGCTAGATGGGTGCGCTATCACATGTACCTCCAAGATTGTGATGCCTTAGTCTGAAAGATGAGAGTTAGGAAAGATAACTATCACGTTGAAACCGTATCTTCCTTTCTCTATTAACCTATATCATATGTTTTACTACTTACACATTGAGAGTGAATTTGGAGAGTACTAAAACATATCTGTTAGGTTATGAGCATATCTACATTCCTACGTGATCATGCAACCCTAATTGTTTTGGATCTAAGTTTTTCACTAATTCAACATGTAAATTGAATACCAAAGTAATAACCCTAGATTTAGCGTACAAATTTTTGAAATTCACAAAGAAAATAGGGTTAAAACATTACCTCACTTGTTATATAGTAATAACAAGACAATCCTTGAAGATCCTTTACTCTTGAAAGCTTAGTGCCCTAAGTGTTGCACCTCTAATGCAGTCACAAACACACAAGGTAAAGGATGAGAGGAGAAACAAGGAAATCGGCTAGGGTTTCAATCTAGAGTGTATTTTTCGAAAATCGCATGATATGGATATCTTTATATAGCTGTGGAATGCTAAGGTTTGTGGAGGAAACCCTAATTCCTGCTTAAGGCCTAAGCAACCCATGGACTCCTCCTTATGAGGCCTTGGACGAAAACTATAGGGCCTCCATATAGGATTTCGTCCACTCCTAATTAAGTAGTCCATTAATCCAATTCTGCAACTATCAATGATTTGCAAAATAAACCCTTGCATTATTAATTAGTTCCTTTAATCCCAAAATTAATATCAAATTAATTTCTGATTAAATACTAATTAATAATATGATTTCCAAATAATATATTAATCTTATAATATATTAATAAAATCATTTTTAGTACCAATTTATTATTTCAAATAATAAATTATACTCTCTCTCTCTCTCTCTTTATCTCTCTCTCTTTACTAGTCATCCTATCAAGTTGCATGAGTGAAGGCAACCAAAAAAGACCATGCTCCAATCAAATCAAGTACATACCAATTATAGTTATGGGCTTAGACACCTAATCTAATAGTCTCCCACTTGGATAAGTCTAATAACTATTATTTTAAGTATTACTTTAAAATTTGACCAACAATCGTAGCTTTCAAAAACCACTGTCGAACTCTGATCTAATCTATGACACGTCCTTTAGATAAGTGATCAAATATCCCACCATTCTACAAGATATCGTATAAGACATGAGACATGGATTATAATCATTCTTTATGTCCAAGGTTTGTTTTCCGACTTCCGATTTACGACTATTGACTTAGACTACAATTGAACACACCAACTTAGTCCAGGCTTGGCCAAGTGCTTTAGATGTCTTCACTAAATCATCGAGGGACCCGCATATATCATTTTTATCCCATTTAGGGTAAAAGGAATGGATACACTTCGACTCATATGCTTTTACTATTTACTCATCAAGTCGCACACAACAATACATTTTATAACATCAAGTTATTGATGCGTTTACATATTGTCAATGCATAACCGACTTGTAAACAACAACTCATATGTGTCTATTTCAAGAATATAAGATATTATCATCTCAAAATTACTCGTGATAAAATCCATGAAGTAATTCTTGAGTGTAGGTTTATCCAATACTCAAATTCTTATTTTGAGAGTACTCATGTGCACTGCAGCAAACATTTGTTATGTCTAACCACTTAGACAATCTACAGTTGGATTCATGACAGTCTTAATTCACTACGTACTTCCAAAAGTATGATTGATTGTAGATGTTTGAATAATCTTATTATGCGGGAAGTAAAACATGTGAAGTGAAACACAATAATAACCTAATCGAATAAGGTCTCAAATCTTTTGAATATAAATAAAACACTTATTATTTAATCACCATATTAACTAAACGTTATTCATTGTATAATGTTTCGAACAATCAACTAAGTACTTGAATTAAAAAATCAGTCATGTGATGCACAAAACACGCATACTCTGTTTATTTATGGTCCTTTCTTTGTGAAACATATCAATTGAACACATTTACAATGATGCTCATTCTACAATTCCAAATCCTTAATATAGGTGTAAGAATACCAAATTCTTAATAGAATCTGTTAGAGTCTAAACTTATATGCAATGATCCTTTTGTAATGTCAAAGCACTAAAGTTACAGAGACTTTGCCAATGATATTACAAAACATTCCATTATAGATTTGTTACAAAACAATTCAATGGAAATGAAGTCTCACATTTAAGGAGCATTCCTTGAACATCCTTCTTGCATTAAAGTTTCTAACTCGCACATATATCTCAGTATCCAACTCCCATAATGGAAACATTTTAGTATTTCCATATGAACATCAATTATGAACAAGAGTTACCTCTATTCAGAACATGTCAATATGGTTCATCCAAATTAATATTATACTTCTAACTGTCCACAATTAACCAATTTTTGGTAAACCTCAAATTGTCATTGATAGTTGTTTAACAACTTTATTCATATCCAGTTCTTGTCCTTTTTTCCCTCTTAATGCGCTAGGCATTTGGAAAAATCAGAACAGGCGAATACTATAGCATATGCAATCGATCCTATACCCAAAGCATATGGGATACGATTCATAATATCTTAAATAAAGACATGATACTTGACCAGCCTCTTGCTAAAATATTTTAATATATAGAATTTCCTATGTTGAAACATTTCAACATGACATTCATATACGTTCATGACTAAGTTCTATTAAAATTTCAATCTAAACTTTTAGGTTCGAAATGAAGTATAAATACCCTCTCCCTTAAGCCTTACTATAGCGAAACAATTTCCAAATTCTGCAACTTTACAAATTTAGAACTTGGTTTCCATTTCAAACTTGCAACACTTATCATAATAATCACGCTCCCACTAGCATAGCAATTATGTTCTTACCAGCATAACAATTATGCTCCCACTAGCTTTGACATGTATTCAGAAATCTGATGGACTTCTAGAAATCAATACCTATTGAATTTCTCAACAAAGTTCGTATTTTTGATGCGTGGTGCTTCGATAGGTCTTATTTAGACTTTTCAAGCTCATACACCTTTCATTAAACAGTTTATGTGTGTGTTTAAACCCATTTCATAACTTATAGCAGCAAGTCCCGAATTTTCAAACTATTTTCCATTCTTACAATTCAAACTATGAAAAGGGATGTCGTAATCATACTCGAATTTGAGAATATCACAACTACTAACTCCAATGATGTTAATCAATCCTTTAAAATCTACTAGTGAAAGTATTTTCTCACAATCATTTTGATGAAGTAGAGAAACCGCTTGCCACTTACATTTTATAGTGTATGTGTTCCTATCCATGTTAATTTGTCATTCCCAACCACTATAATAAGACAAGATTTATGACAAATTCAAACTCTATGGACTAAACTTGCGTAATCCTGATTTCTCACCATCCGGTAGTAGAAGGGCCTACCAATGCTTAATTGGAATGGGCACAGAAACAAGAATATTTCAACAAAATAGGTTATCAACCTTAGGTCGTGTGCTAGTGATTA